AAATTTATCAATACTGTTGAAATAACTAAAGATACGAAAAGTCATGTTATCGCTATAAAAAAACTAAAATCTATATTAAATTATATTCTCATGAATTCTTCAATTGATACCATAAGCGTCGCTAAAAATATTCATAGCAAGACTATCAAATGAGCAAGTATTTGACGAAACCTATCGATGTATAAAAGTCATTAATATTAACAAGACGGCTGCATATTTTTTATATTTATATTTTCTTTCTTATATTTGCCTTCCATATCCCTACGTTTTCTATATACCAATTTTTTTATATCGAACAAAGTTATATCAGAATGTAAAGATCAATTTTTTAAATACTGTTGACGAGTATAGTTATTTCATGATTTCTTTATCCTGTTTTTTGGAGATACCTAAGATTATGTTTCCGAAGTAGTTTTAAGCTTTTTCCAAGAACTCAGTTTTTAATGAGAGATATACATAAAAGTTCAGTGCCAAAACCGAGATCTTGGCTTTTTCGGATCCTGTAAATCCGAGTTCGAAAGCCAAAAACGAAAACGCTCGATTTGATCTCTGAAGAATACGTTCAAGTGTCGGTGGCACAAATTTCAATTTGATTGAACAAAGTTAGCAGGGAAATCGTAAGCAACCAGAATGTAGCTCTATGGAAAACTGAAATTTCCCCAAAGAAACCGCAAAACCTTACTTCAAACTTTTTCTCTTGAATACATGTTTCCTGGTTTTTGGTGCTCTATCTATGATAAAAATTTCAACTTGATCGGTTCTACTATCTTTGAGTACCAGAAATACTCAAAAAAAAGAAAGGGATGATAAACCTCAACCAAGAAAAATCAAGTTCACTTATTGATGTTAAGGTTTTATTTAATGAATAACATCACATTGATAATCATTACAAATACTATATTAATTCGTGTATGTAAGAGATTAAATGACATTTCTGATTGATTTAATGACAGATTTTAATTTAGGTAATGTCCGTAAATTCAAATTAGAGATCTGAATAATGACATAAGTTTTAAAAAGAAGTGCTACAACCACTTGTTTGATATTGCTACTTATTTGATTATATTATAAATGAGCACGTGAGTTTTTATATAATGATTAAATGAAAAAAAAAATTCTAAATAATAGAACAGTATTGCATTATTTCTCATATGACTAAGTAGTTTTCAAAAACAAGAACATTTAGTCATTGTATTATTAAAAATATAAGTATTATCAAATAATTTATCTTCATCTTAATCGAAATATTCTGAAATAGTCGTTTATTATATTTTGTAAATGTTTTTGCATTTGAATCAATATCTTTCGTTTGTATTTTGATTAAAATTAAAACGCAATTTTTTTATCTGTCACTGTATGTCAGAATAGTAAATAATTGTATATAAAAAAAGTTAGCGATATTCATTTATTCATTCTAATCAATCAAATATCATATTATTTTGTCATGCGGACTATTTATTCGATCTATGAACTATAAAATCGAGATATCTAGTATTCATAATAACTGAAAACTAAAATGAATATTATCAATCAGAATAAATTAAGGCCCCCCCCCCCCCCCCCCCCCCCCCAACCTCACTCTCAAAACTCTATCTCAGCTCAGCGTTATTCAAATGGTCTGAAATTTACAGAATGTGTTGGAGCTAGAGTGCAGTAACTGTGATAAAATTTTCGACCTTCTATCATGACGTGTGGGGGGGGGGGGGGGGAGATATTGACCAAAGAAGGGTCAAAAATTGCTGATTTCGCAAGCCAAATTTCTATGCCTAAGTTGATGATATATCTGTAATATTTTTTCTTGGTGAAAAGAGCATATCCGGATGCAGGGCACTGTAGAGCCCTTTATTAAAATTCTTATTTTTTGAGCAGAAAAAGGGAATATTGAGCTCTTTGATTGACAAAACCGGAAAAAATGGGGTTCTTTCTAGGCAGGTACAGCATTATATGATAATAAAAAATTTATTCTCAAAAAAAGACTCTGTGGTGCTCTGCATACTGATGTGCTCTTTGCAACAAAAAGTTAAATACGTAACATGAGCTTTGGCAGAGAATTCTGGGTTGCGCGTTTGAAGAAGCATAAATTCAGAAAAAATGAAAATAATATTCAGATTTAGTTTATTTTTCGAATAGGGGTGCCAAAAACCGTTAAAAAGTTTTAATAAAAGATATATACCAACTCAAAAGCTTTATCATTTTCGAAAGAGCATACTTCGGGCTATCTTCCATATGTACTTATCTCAGTTTTGATAGTTTTGTCGAAAACTGAATTCTTTTAATGGGGAGGGCTTAAGAAGCAACACCGGCTCACATAAAGTGCAAAGTAATTTTCAGATTTTGTGAAAGATCAAATATGAAACTCAGTAATTTTGAGAAACCATTGTGATTCTGTTTCATTATCAAACCAGTGTAGCCATGACCTAGGTTCTACGCTGCCCTTCGTAACATAAATTGGTTTCATTCTATTATTTGCCTCTGCGCTTTAGTTACAATCAACCAATATGAATTCACGAAAACATTTACTAGTTTCTACCCAAAAACTAACAAGTAGCGTGCATCGAGAATCGATACACTTGACCCTAGCCTGAACGAATTCTGATGTCTTATAGGCGCATCTAAGTAAAAGGATCGACTATCGAACGCGCACGCTCGTAAGTCACCATAAACCGTCCTAAATTGCGGCATTACATGACTCAGTATTACAATCGTCATCCTCCATTCTTTATAAGAAAAACTACGATCCACTACAAACTTAAACGTAGTCGTCTACGAACTTCGTGGTGAGAAGACCACACACGGCATCTATTTGACTCCGCATGTATCTCTAATCGAACCTATTTTTTACAGTCTATACAGACATACTGTCGTGTAAAGTGAATCATCGAGTATATTCAACCATACGATACTGTAAACGGATTTCGTACTCTCCATCATTGGATACTACTTCATCAATATATATCGCAATGCCTGGTCGTTAATCATTATTCTACAGCCATATATGTTACCACTGCTAGGATCGCAGTATGTGATATAAAAATGGTTCTTTGCGCGATAACAATCGCTATTTGTGCTATAAAAATTGGTCCCTTCTGCCACACAAATGGTCGTTTTGATGACAAAGACGGTCGTTTGTGTCATCTGCTCGGGACGGGTGGACGGACACAAGTGAATTTCGTTTTTTAGACTCTATCCTTACAGTGTTCGGAATAATACTTTATATTGTTCTAATAGCATTTCTCATTTTGGGTATCCTGAAGATTATTTGTCAAGAGGAATTATTCGATGCATACAACTAATACTTTAACGAATAATTTTCATGCTTCTTCCGATATATATATATATATTGCTCGTAAAAATTATTCGCCTTTAGCAAAACAATACTTCTTAATATGTCTTACTTGGCTCTCTTGTACTGCAAAAACTTCACTCCAACCTTAAATATAGTCCCTTCATAAAATGATAATGGTCATTTGTACAACAGAAACGGTCATTTCGAGCATAGAAATCGACTTTTTGGATCACAGAAATGGTCGTTTGAAGCGTCGAAACGGTCCTTTTGGAACACACACATGGTTATTCGGACGATAGAAGTGGTCATTTGTAGCAGAGAAATAGGTCTTTTTGACCACGAAGATAGTCATTGCTACCAGAGAAATGGGTCTTTTGGACCACGCAAACGGTCATTTAGACCATAAAAATATGCTTTTTGTGGCATAGAAACGATCATTTGGATCACAGAAATGGACCTGATGTACCATACAAATGGTCGTTTGTGCCCAGGTTACAGATAGATAGAGCCGAATATCGTTTTCTGGACCCTAGCCTTTCAGTATAGGGAAGTAAGATAATAAAAAATCTATGGAATCAATAATGCAACAAAAAGAAGAAGTTTGTACGATTTTGACGAAGTTTTCGTCCCATAAGTTATTAAAAACGTTAGAAAAAAGTGGTTCTTTAAAAGTTTTAACTTCTTTGTAGGGCTTGTGAGCGTTAAAATTTTGATTGCAGCAATGTGTGATGCAACATATGCAGACGATTTATATAGCTATAATAAAAAAGCAATGATTGTTCATCTATCAAATCCGGTAAAAGTCCTTTCATCACTTTTAAGCGATAGAAAGGCTTTTGCTTGGACTTCAAGATGAGAAAGAATCCTATCGAATAAATCAAGGAAGCACAGAATTTGGAAAGAATACAGGTTACAATATCGAGTCATGTTAGATGTTTGCAGTATCGATCAAACCATGTTCAAAACACATTTTGGTTATTTTGTGTTCTAAAAATCATGTCAGCGCATTGAAAAAGCTTTCCAATTTTCAAAGACATGCATAATTTTTGTTTGACAAAGTCTATTCACAAAGAATGATCTGCAAGACTGACACGTGATGCTTCGAACTTTTAAACCGGTGAAAAATTGAGCTCCTTGATATTCTCAACAATTGAAACGAGTACTACACTCTTCTTCATTTTAGACAAGATAACAAATTCAAATGGTAATTGAGCAGTATCACCTTATCAAACAAAAATTTTCTAATTCTTCCATTGAGACATGTATAAAATCACGAATCCAGTTAATTTGTTTTGGCGGCGTATAATAGATTAGGTAGCGAAAACAGATGTATATGTAACTTCAGGTTCTTAAAAACAGATGTGCAAACTGAATTTCAAGTTCCATTGCTTAAAACCTGGTGCAAGTTCCCTATCTGGGAAGGCAGAACCCATCGCAGGCTCCCATACCTGGGAACGCGGGATCCGGATAGGTTCCCGTACCTGGGAACGCGGAACCCAGACGGGTTCCGGTTCCTGGGAACTCGGGAACCCATTATGACTTGCTACAAATGAAAAGAATAGACACATCTGAACATCTTTGAATACTAAATGGTGCTTGGAAACCAATTTTCAAATGCGTTCCCGTTCCTTGGGAACGGAATCCGGAGGAACGGGAACGCTGACATCCCTAAATCGGCATATACATTTTCTATTTCGATTAACTTGTTAGATATGTTGCACAAAACAAATGACCTGATTTTGTTTTTCTTTTGCATAAATTGAGTATCTGAAACTTGTTTATATAGGTAGCGAAGTTAGACCTATATAAACCATCTATAATATAATTACAATTTATATATATTGAAGAAAATCAAAACGAAAATAAATTAAATCTTTCGATTTTTTATCTTTCTTCTTTTATTTACGATAAATATACTTTGGTGAATAGAAATAATATTAGGTTTATCGTTGAGAACATTTTTCATATTCTCATCAATTTTTAAGCACTATCAACGATGGATCTTTCTTATTTAAAGTACAAAGAATAATTTATTAGATTTGAAAATAAGTTCTTATTCGTATAGTTTGGTTTTATTGAACTTATTATCAATCAAAATAGTTGAAGGTTTCAAGAAATTATCAAGTTCTATGTTAAGGATAGTGTTTTTATTTTTATAAAGAAAGATAATATAAAAATTAAAAAAACAAACTAGGAGGTCCATAAAGTAGAATTATTTGATTACAATGAATAATAGTTCTATCAATATTAGCTTTGTCAAATCTAATTACAGTAAAAACATATTTCATTAATTGAGTTTTTAATGGTACATCAAATTCAAGTGTTTTCCAAAGTGATTCAAATTGATAATGAGGTAATGACCAACGACATTCAATATTTTATTTTTCACCTTCAATTAAAACTTCATGATTACATGAATGATCATCTATTGTTTTATATAATATAATATGCATTGAATTTATTTCATTTGTTTTTCTATTATTTTCTTCAAAATCACCAACATAGATTTTATTAAGATATTCATTAAGAAGAGATTCTTCTATGGATTTATTTAATATTAATGAACGATTTAATGTACCTATTGAAAATATTTTATTGTTAAAAAAAAACGAAAGAAAGAAAGACAAAAATAAATAAATAAAACTTTGTTTTCGAACAAATTGATAAACTTGTTGTGCAAGTTGATCAAGTAAATGTTCAGATAATATTCGACAATTAACTTCAGTAAAAAATCCATTTGAAAATGCTTGAGCTAAAAGTGGAATTGCTTTTTCAGCTTATTCATTATTAAAATGATTTCTATTAATAGAAATTCTATTATTTATTAGATTATGATGATGATGATAATTTTAATTTATTTATTCGTGTTCATAATGATTTGTTTAGATTTTTGACGTCGTTTATTTATTTTATTTTGTGTTGAAGATGTTACTGATATTGTATCTCGCATTTTTTATTTTAAATCATAAACTAATAACAATCAACACAAATTAACAAAATATCTATTTAATTATGCGCTTCATTTTACAAGAAAATTCTTTTGTATTTTATTTCGTTATTAAATTCTATTTGAAATATAATTTATAGAGAAATTTGATAATAGAATAGATAAGTTAATTTTAATAGAAGAGTCTTCATTAATTTAATGGTAGATTAAGAGGAAGTAGTCAAATGTCGAACTTAATATTGTTTCCGTCAATTATAAAAGACATATTCAATGAGAAGAAAAAAAACAAAACTCATCATTCGGAAGTCTCTTTATCAAAATTATTCCTTTATTTAGGAATCATCAGTAAAGTACGTCCGGAATAGTCGACAAACAACGTGTTCAACAAAACACCCGACATTTTTACACAGGAAACTAACTTGAATAATGCGAGAACGTCAACACTTTTCATAGAAATTTGTTTATAAGTTTTTGCAGTTGGGTTTATTTTTAAAATTAATTAAAAAAAATAAAAAAATATCTCCGATGAAAATTTGATTAAATATTATTTCGAAATAAATTAAATATATCATTAAGTTAGATAATAGGAAAAACTAAAGAGATCTATTGAAAGAAAAAAAGTCTGATAAATTGTTATATTCTTTGTATTATTGATATTTTTTACTAATAATCAATGTTTTTTTTTCTAACAAGATTTTTCAAAGAGATTGAGTGTCTAACAATTATTTTTCATTTTTTCATTTATTATTAATTATGATTTTCATTAATTTAGTAGTATTATCAACATTGACGATTAAATTATCTTTTCTCTTTTTCTTTGTCATTAAGTTTATATATATACATAAGCACAATGTATTTACAATTGAAATTACAAAATTTTATATAAATTTTCTTTTGTCTATATACTTCATAAAATCATTTTATTGTAGTTTGATTACGTTTTGTTAGGAAATTTTAGTGAAATAGAATAATCTGATATTAAAATATCATAACATATTATGAGAAAACTAAAAAATCTGATAAAAGTTAAATAGTTAAATAGTTAAATGAGTTTTGTTTTGTTTGTGTCATATGTCGATTGTAGACAGTCGTTTATCAGCTTGTCTGTATTTGATGTCTAATAATCTATCTGTTGATGTGTGTTTTCATGTCTTGATCTTGTTTAAAGATGATCCAACATGACATATTCATTAATTATTCTGTTCGATGATGATTAATCGAATAACATATTATTATTCATTATTTTCTGTTGTTATTATTCTTGTTGTTGGTTTTTCCTATTGATAATCATTTCATATATACGTATAACGGTTGATAAAATCTTATTTAATAAAAAAGAAATTTTTCAATCGATTTCAATAATCTTTATCAACAAATTATAAATAATTTTTTTAAATAAAATAAACAAAAAAGAAATTAAAATGAATAATTTTATCGAGAAAAATTGAAAAATTTAATAAAAGATTGAAATAATTTCATATAAGCCCGTCGATATTTAATTTGTATAAATGGATAAAGAAATGGATTACATGTTGAATTCATCCATAAAAGCCAAAATGATATTTCAAATAGAATTTTTGAGACATTTACACCAGCTGTTGATGCTGTTGCACAAATAACATATGGAAATAAAAATATTAAAAAAACAACAACAAGAATAAATAAAGAACGTGCAGCTTTTCGATCCCGGATTATTCTTGATCGACTTTGATTATATTGTTGACATTTTGTTTTTAATCTATTTGATAAAATAATTTCATTTGAAATTGATTTTGATGGATCATTTTCAGTTTCTGTTTCATTTTCGTTTTCATTTTCATTTTCATTTTCATTTTTAAGTTGACATTCATTTATAGAATTGTCAAGATCGTTAGGTGAGACAAATTTATTAATATTTTTAGATTTTCGATAATAAAATAATATTGGGGATGATTGATCTCTATTATTTAAATCAATATTATTTGAATAAGAGTTTCTTGAAGAATTTTTTCTAAAATAAATAAAAATAAAAATTCGAAAGAAGTTAAAAGAAAAAAAGTTTTCTCTCTCTTTCTCTCTTTCTCTCTTTCTCTCTCTCTCTCTGTATATTTATATATACATATTTGGATATTTGTTTTGAATAAATGATGATAAATATGTAATTCTATATTGAGAACTATTTGATGATTTATTTTTATATTTCTTAAGTAAATGTTGAATATTTTTATTTTTTTCATTTGTTGTTGATTTCGAAGGTTCTATTGAATTTATTTTATGTTTTGATAATATTGAAAAATGTTGATCATCTTCAATATGTTTATTTGTTTCGAATCGAGATGAAATAAAATTATCTTCTTTTTGTTTAACACATTTATTAAATGTCATTAAATGTATCATCTTTCGACTTCGTTTCCATATATTTATCATAATTAACATATTAAGTATACATAAAAGAATAAATGGCCAAATAAAATAATTAAATTGTGCTATTAACATATAAATAAATGAATTATGATAATCACCTGAACAATCATAACGAGTTATATTATTTTCAATATATAATTTATCAAATAAAGATAATAACCATATACCAGGAGCAAAATTAACTAATTAATTATTTTATTTAATATTATTTATTATTTATTATTTATTATTTAAATAAATAACTTACTGAAAGAAATACACCAAACAAATGCCATAACTATATAAACAAGATTTTGTCGAACATATTTTCTATAAGATATGGGATAAGCTATTGACCAATAACGATTTATACTGATTGCTACTATATTAATAACACTCGCCATCGTTGCAACATCATCAATTGTAACCTATTTAGTAATTTAATATTTATTTATCAATATAGAATTTAATTGTTTAATAAAAGAATAAAGTTTACCCAAATTTTACAAAAAAGACGTCCAAATGGCCATGATTGTGTCATACTAAATTAATATTTAATAAGAAAAATAATATTATTAATATTTAATATAATTAACCTAAATGGAATTTAAAATGGAATACAGAAAAAACCAACAAGAAAATCAGCAATTGCCATATTTAATATAAAATAATCTTTTGAAAAAAAGAAAAAAAAATAAAATAAATAAAAGGTATATATAATATGATTACCATTAATTGTACGTAATTTCTTGTCACAATAAAATGCCAAAAGTACAACTATATTTCCAATAGCTGTTATAAATGCAATAAGACTTAAACAAATTCCAATAATAATTGATAAAATAATTGATGATGAATTTGATGAATTTATTATTGTTATTTTCATAGTTATATTTAAATATAGAAATTGTGAAGGATACATTATTTATATAATATATGTCTTAGTCAGATTTGATAAATATTAAAAAGAAAAAGAAAAAAAAAAGAAAAAGAAAAAGAAAAATTCTTATTAATTATTTTATTTTATTTTTTTGAATATATTATAAATAAGAAATGAATATTTAATAAAGAAAAATTATTCTTAAATAAATCCATCGATTATTTTTAACAATCGACTTATATGATAATATGATTATTGACTAAGAGTAAAATTATTTTGTTTTACTCGTTTATTTATAGTTAACAGAAATTCTATTTAATAACTAAACAAATATATTTATATTACTAAAAAAATAATATTTCGAGACGATTCATTCGAGACTTTTATAGATAATTATTATTCAATATGACTATTTTATTTATTTCAATTGAAAACTTTTCTATTTTAAAAAATGAAATCGTTCGAAAATGAAATTTAAAAAAAATATTCATTATCTTAATATTTCCAACGTTTTCCAAGATAAACAAAAAAAGTATTAGTAATTAGTAATGTTCATATACAAAAAAAAACAATAATTTTTATTAATGAAAAAATCCATAATACATATTATTTAACTATAATCAAATTGAATTAATATATTAGATTTTAAACATAATCAAATATAAGATCTATTCTCATTTATTTATCTAATTAATCATAACGATATTTTTTCATAATTTTATTTATTAGTAGGAAGAACAAATAAATATGTTTTATATAGAATTTCTTATTTTTGATTTAATATTTAGAAAAAAAACAATAAAACTCATTTATCTATGATTAGTTTAAATCTGTTAGTTATTAATAGTTTAAATTTAATTTCAACTGAAAAAAATTCATTATTAAAAATAATATATTTAGAAAATTTATTTTAAATAAACAAAAAATATGTTTATTATCATAAGAATTACAATTAAAATATTTATTTTAATAATAATATAATAAACATTAATTATTGTTCCTTATAAATTGTTTTTTTTTAAATATATTTTATTTTTTTCGATTTTTTCATCATTCATATCCAACTAAACTATGATTAAACAAGTTAAATCTAAATTAGTTTAATTATAATCGTATCAATAAGAATAGAACTAAAATCGGCAAA